ACCATCAGGGGATATTGATATATGTTACTTATACAATTCTACTCATTGTCTTATTGACAAAAATTGGAAAGAAAACACCTTGGAAATTCAATGTAATTTTAATAGTTGTCAATATAATACATGTCCGTAGCAACCAGGACATTTGCTCTTGAAACCCTCCTTAGTCATACAATGACTTCCATGCAGGTGCAAAAACAGCTGCAGCCCTTCTCCATTTTATGTACATTGCATGGAGTCTTTTCAACACAGAGACAAAAACAACCCTTTCCAGACACTTTTGCTGGTTTGATTGCCTGGAAGGTACCAACCACCTCCGTCGCAAGTGTGGTTGGTGGGGACGAGAAACAGGGCCTTCTCAGTGGTGGCTCCTTGGTTCTGGAACTCCTTTCCTAGTGAAATTAGATCAGCACCCTCCCTCCTGGCCTTCAGAAAGACAACAAAGACATGGTTGTGGGACCAAGCCTTTGGCCAGTAAAGTAATGCAGTGCAAGAAATAAATAGGGAATATGTGCAATCGACAATTTGGAATGGCTTCAGTTTTCAACTTTGGATCATATGATTTTAATGTTTATATTACAATGTTTTAACACTATGTCCTAATGTTTAAATGTTTCTCATGTTTTGTGTTTAATGGTTTGAATTATTTTAACTTATATGTTATTGTTGATCGTTTGATATTATGATTTGGTTTTCACATGTATAGGTAAAGCTAAAGGTTTCCCCTGACATTAAGTGTAGTTGTGTCTGACTCTGGGGGGCAGTGCTTATTTTCATCTCTAAGCTGAAGAGCCAGCGTTGCCCATGGACACCTCCAAGGTTATGTGGCCACCATAACTGCATAGAGTGCTGTTGCCTTCCTGCTAGAGTGGTACCTATTGATCTACTCACATTTGCATGTTTTCGAACTGCTGGGTCAGCAGAAGCTGGGTCTAACAGCAGGAGCTCACCCTGCTCCCTGGACTCGAACCGCCAATTTTTTGGTCAGCAAGTTCAGCAGCTCAGCAGTTCAACCCACTGTACCACGAGGGGGTCCTGGTGTATATTGTTCAATTCATGTTGGCACTGAATTTTCCCACAAATATGTTGTATACCGCTTTGAGTCCCCCCAGGGGTGAGAAAAGCGATAGATAAACCATAATAAATAGAAATAGTAAATAAAACCAGTGGCTTTCTGGCAGTATCCTCCATTTCAAGCTTCTCTTTTTCTTATGTCTCTCGAGTAGGGCATTCGTTGCAGTAAATTCGTACCAAGGAATTTCTAAAATAGACTGGACCTGATCCAGCAGTTGCTCCTAAATATTCACCAGACATGGCTGTGCTCCACAAGATGCTTGAGATTTGGATCATGATATCAAGGACAGTCATAGAAAACAACCTCACAACCTCTGAGGATGCTTGCCATAGATGCAGGCGAAACGCCAGGAGAGAATGCTTCTGGAACATGGCCATATATTCCAAAAAACCTACAACAACCCAGTGATTCCAGCCATGAAAGCCTTCAACAATACATTGGTCATAAAAAAGTTTGCAAATTATTAATTTGGGGGGACGGACGGACTACAATCTCCAGAATTCCCTAGCTAGCATAACTTCTGGCTATGCTGTTGGTGGATTCTGGAAATCGTAATCCTCAACAGAAGAAACCTTCCAAAGCTGAGGGAGAGAGACACCCAGACATGTGTTCAAATTGGCAAATTGCATGGAAGGCTGCTTCTGAATGCAGATGGCTATTGGGAAATGTATTGAGGATCAGCCTTTTGGGTGATTTTGCTGAGAGAGCGGTTTTGTTTCACGAATAGTAGCTGTGGTGTAGGACATCAAGGGCTATCTAGTCCAGCCCCCTTCATTTGGAGAGATATATGGAATTTAGACTAGGGCATAAAAAAGAGAGAAACAGGGAGAGGGCAGGGGAAAAGGGGTAGAGAAACAGGTGGGGGTGAAATCTGTGCCTTTCTTCTCCTTATGCAAGTGAACAGAACCATTTCCCATTCATCAGCAAGTAAGCTTCCCAAACTCAGATCATGACTCCCTTTCCAACCCACACATTGCTTCCTGCGATACTAGCTATAATCCAATATTATCTCAGGGAAGTATAAATACACACATGTGGAGATAAGCTGCACCCCACACAGAAGAGCAACATTGTGCACATATCAATAACTTGGCACCACTGTGCAATGCACAAAGCACAACCCACAAGGCTCAAGGCTCCTTGTATGTACGACTCCGCTTCTGCTGCTATAGTTTCTCATTCATCTGATGGGCCGTGGCAAACACAGTCAGCCCTACACATTTACAGATTTGGCTTTTGCAGCTTGGATTATTCACAGATTTGATTAAGACCCTCATCACACTTGGGCATTTATCCACTTTAAGGTAAAGGTAAAGGTTTCCCATGACGTTAAGTCCAGTTAAGTCCAGTTGTGTCCGACTTTGGGGGTGGTGCTCATCTCCATTTCTAAGCCGAAGACCTGGCGTTGCCCATAGACACCTCCAAGGTCATGTGGCCGGCATGACTGCATAGAGCGCCGTTACCTTCCCGCTACTCACATTTGTATGTTTTCGAAATGCTCCGTTGGCAGAAACTAGGGCTAACAGTGGGAGCTCACCCTGCTTCCCAGATTCGAACCACCGACCTTTAGATCAGTAAGTTCAGCAGCTTAGCAATTTAACCTGCTGTGCCACCGGGGGATCACTTTAATTAACTTTAAATGCTGCGACAGGAGCATTTCGTGTCAGGAGCGAATTGAGAAACTGCAAGTCGCTTCTGGTGTGAGAGAATTGGCTGCCTGCAAGGATGTTGCCCAGGGGATGCCCGGGGATGCTCTCATTCTTGTGGGAGGCTGTGGGAGGCTGTCTCCCCATGGGAAGCTGGAGCTGACAGAGGGAGCTCAACCCACTCTCCCCTGATCTGAACCATTGATCTATTGGTCAGTGGCTCTGCCAGCACAAGGGTTTAACCCATTGCCGCACTGGGGGCTCTACCAGGATAGATGTGGCCAAGCACATCCTTGTGGGAAGCATCTTTCATGTTCCCCCACAGGGAGCTGGAGCTGACAGAGGGAGCTCAACCTGCTCTCCCCTGATTTGAATCACTGACCTATTGGTCAGCAGTCCTGCCAACACAAGGATTTAACCCACTGCACCACTTGGGGCTCTACCAGGATAGATGTGGCCAAGCAACTGCGGACAAAATGGCAAGTGCTATTAATGAGAAGAACACACAAACAAGGAGAGAATGCAGGACTTTGTTTTTGCCTGAGTCTATTGGGAAGGGTACGGTTCTGCCCACTCCTCTCCTCTACCCATGGCTGAACCAACTGAGTGCATATGACAATTTATCTTAAAACTTCATTTGCAGCAACTGAAATAAACTAAGGATGAAGGAGGAAAGTGGGAGCCAGAGAGAGAATCTGGGACTTTTCAAAAGCATCTGGATTAGTGGAAGCAGCTTTCCTCCAGCTTCATTTGTGTTTTTGCCACAAAGATAGCTGGAGGAAATGGTGATGATGTCTGTGGGCACCATGTTGGAGATCTCAGCCATAATGGGTTAAATCAGATGGGACCCCTTCTTCCAATGCATGCAGCTTTTGATAGCTTCTCTCCCTTCCTATTAAGCTGTGGACATGAACAGGGATGGGGAAAAATCCTCCTGCCCTTCCACAGAACCATTCCTTATGGCTAGAGGTAAGGGGGTTTATAGAATCATAGAGCTGGAAGAGACCTCGTGGGCCATCCAGTCCAACCCCCTGCCAAGAAGCAGGACAATCACGTTCAAAGTACCCCCAACAGATGGCCATCCAGCCTCTGTTTAAAAGCCTCCATAGAAGGAGCCTCCCTCCTTCTCAGCCCTTGAGGAGACCTTGGAGGGCCACAGTTACTTGACACTCCACATACTGAATCTAGCAGGACAGCTTTAAATTATTTTAGCCTCAGGAAATATATTTTCTTTCACAGGAAGCAAACCAGAAATTAGTTGTCAGGTCACTTCTTGCCAGATTGAAATCCTCCTATGGGCTGTAGCACAGCTGGTAAACCAACAGCTGCAATAGATCACTACGGACTAGAAGGTGGCACATTCAAAACCCGAGTTGGATTGAGCACCCAACTGTTAAGCCTAGCTTACTGTCCACCTAAGCAGTTCAAAAACAGCTGAGCTGTGAGTAGAGAAATTAGGGGCCGCTAATTTAATTTAATTTAATTAAGTGGGAAGGTATTTTATGACACCATTAAAAATGGCGGAGATCAAAGAGCAAGGAGGAAATATGATCAAAATCATAGTGTATGGAGCAACAGCACCTCCTTGTGGCCAGTATCGAGAATAACCTCCAGGCACTGAAGTGGAAATGCCAAAAATACCTCTATCAGTCTGTCTCAAAAACAGCATTGAATGTTTGCCGTTTATGTGTGCATTGTGATCTGCCCTGAGTCCCCTTCAGGGTGGGAAAGGCAGGATATAAATACTGTAAATAAATAAATAAATAAATAATGGTCATTTTAGGCCCAGAGGAGAACTTCATCCTAGCAAGAAGTGACCTGCAAACTGATTTCTGGCTTCCTTCCTTCTTGAAGAAAATGGGACTAAAAATGTGCCAGAATTGGCTTTCACCCTCTTTAGCAGCCATTTTTCCAGAATTTCCCTATTTTAACGGTTTGCAAGACCAGCAACAGAGATGTTGTTCAATAATGCAATCCCTATATAAGAAGAGCTTCCTTCCTTCCTTCCCTCCCTCCCTGGCTTTTCTCTGATATCTTTAAAAGCAGCCAGGCTCAGAGTAGTTTAGCAGGTGAGGTTTCCTGGCATGAAGATCAGATGAACTCTAATTAACACTGAGACATTTGGGTTATGGAGCAGAGATGTGAAGTTCTGGTATATAAAATAAATGAATCGGAAGGAGAGGTGAGGAAGGTCACCTGCCACACAGAACAAGTCATTAACCCAGGTCACTGTGCCATAAATGGCTCCCCACCCCCTGCAATTCTTACATCCTTTTTTTAAAACATACAGTACATTCATTTCACCAACATGCAAAATTAGGCTAGTCACAGACAATGCAAATATCCCCGAGATCAGAACATTCCAGTTTTCCCATGCTGAGTCTAACTATGTCAGGAACCTTCTTCCTGTGGAGTTAATACTGAATTAACTGCAGGAACAGAACTGAGCAGTTTTGCCAGCAGGCACAGAAAAATCCAAGTGATGCCTTTGCCTACGTTAACCTTCTAATAATTTTCAATAACACAGTTTTATTGGCACTCAAAATCTGATGCCTCGCAGCAGCTTGGATGGCAAAGAACACCCAAGATCATAGGAAGCTGTTCTGTTTGTTTTGCTCCAGCGCCATTTCGTTCACCAGCTGTTCGATGGACGACTGGATGGCTGCCTTAACCAGCGATGCGGCCGTTTCAATCAGAAGCCCTTCATATTGCTCTGAAGTCCAATGTTCCTGGTCAGTTCCACTTAAGGCTGGCCAGACCTTGGAAGATGGTTTCCCGTCCTTCGTGTGGCCATGACCCGCTGAACCGGAATCAGCCCCTCTGTTTGATTTTTTCTTTCCTTTCTGTTTATTGATTTGTGCCAACGAAAACAGTTCGCAGGCCTGGCTGGGTTCCTCTTCATCCGGCCATTCCTCCGCTTCTGTGATCATGATCACGATGCCCGCTCCTGGCACGACAGGTTTATTTTCTTTTGTTTCTTCATTGGAACCGACTGGCGCATCTGAGGTCTCCTCTCCCAGTGCAGATGGGCTGCAATGTAGCATCACTTCAACAGAGTTTCCCTCCTTGGCACTGCTTCCATTCGCAGCAGCGTCAACTTCCTTCCCCAACTCTGCTTCTTTGACCTCCTCTGTTTTGAAGACTCCAAGTTCAGCTCCTGGCAAGACATCAGGAATGGGAGGGCCTATCTCAACCTTGAAATCAAATCTCTTGTTTTCCGCTTCTTCTGGTTCTCCATAGAGGCTGCCCTGGTGCAACTGGAAGATTTGCTTCTCCTCTTCGGTTTCGAGGACCTTCTCAGAGTGGATGATTTCAGACTGAACCATACAGTCTGCATAACAATCGGGACCAGGACTCATCTCTACTGCAAAGACTTTATCCGTACTTGAGTTGACCACATTGCCCCCATTTTTAACAATGTCAGTATCACCCTTTCTCTCCTCAAGAGCTTCGCTGGAGGAGGACTGTTGGGCACTCAGTGGACCCTCCAGAGCCAGAACCTCTGGTTCCTCACAGTTACTTTGGTCATTCAAAATACTTGTCTTTTCATTTGTTTTCTCTCCATGATCCAGCTCTTCGGATAGCTCACAATTGGTGGCCTTCTTCCGGCTTCTGGAGAACCTCAAGCAGGGGATTTTAAGTCCGGCTCGTTCTTTTGGGCAAGGCAGCACCCCTGAGTCTTCCGCTTGTGTCTCCAGCTGGACACGGGAACCTCCCGACTGTTGTTGTTTCTTTAGGACAGACTTGGAACGTCTCCTTGAAGTCACCAGGCGTTTGAAGGCCAACCAAGCTCCTCCTGATGTCCATAAGGAACCTGATAGCTCTGCTTCGCTACTTCCCGTGTTTGAATCTTGGCTTATAGGCTTTGAAGTAAGTGTTTCAGCTTCACCATCTTCCTCCTTCTCTGCAGCCTTTTCACAGGACTTCTTCCTTTTCTTAAAACAAAAGACTGAGGCCTTTTTGGCTGGGCTCTGGTTTGCAACGGCAAACTTTGACCCGTCTAGAGTTTCTGGTTTTTGAGGGCTCTCCATCTGAATTGCTTTCTCTGTATCTTCCATCTTTGGGGCTTGCGTTCTTGTGTCCAAAAATTCAGCAACGTTCCTTTGCTGACATTTAGATTTATTTTTTTTAAAAAAACGACAGTCTTAAGGCAGATTTACACTAGTTTAATTAACATGGCTCCAACTCAGTGAATCCTGAGAACGGTACTTCAAGATACTTGTAGAATCACAGTGCCCAATGTCTCCTGGGGAGATGAAACTCTGTAGAGTTGGCATCAATGTTCAGTCCCTTGAAAAATGAGGAGAATCTATGTGGGTTTGTTTACAAAAACAGAGAGTATTTTCCCCTTTTCAGTGTTGCAAACAAATAAGCAAGAGTTTGATTTTGAAGAGCATGGTGCTTTGATTCCTTTCCATATCTTTTCTTGGAGGAGTTCAGCTGGCTGTCTGGGAGCATCCACTGTAATTCTCCCTTGGTCTGCTCCTAAGACTCCTGCATTAGAAACGTATCTGTTTAGTTGTTTCAAATAGATTTCAGATCAGCCCAGAAACTGACCCTGTTCCATTAATGAGAGCCCTGGGAGAGAGCATCCACTTGCAAATATATGTATGGCTTCCCAATCAAGGACTCAGTTTGAAAGCAGCTACAAAAGGAGACATCTCACGAGATTTTCCTTCCCCACCAGCTCAGGAAACTTCTTATTGCCTTTCAATCAATTTCCCAATTAGGGTTCCTTTGGTTATGAAACACGACAACTTTCTTCAGGGAGGCAGTTGCTTTGTGGGCATCTGTAGGAGGGAGTTGGGGATGGGGAGAGGAAAGAAAAGGGATAGCAGCAGGCTCAATGCACTTACACAATTAGTAAATTTTCCAGATTATTAAAATGACTTGTATAAACAAGTGTTGTGCTTTATAATTAACCATCTATTCAGTTAGGTGCTGTGCTGAGTTTGTGGAACAATTGTGATAATAAAACCTGGCTGAAAGCCATTATCTCAATATAAGGAAGGCACACTGGGTGAATCTATGCTGTAGAACAGTGTTTCTCAACCTTTCAAATGCTACAATCCTTTAATACAATTCCTCATGTTGTGGAGACTCCCATCCATAACACTATTTTCGTTGCTACTTCATAACTGTAATTTTGCTACTGTTATGAATCATAAATATCTAATATGCAGGATATATTTTCATTCACTGGACCAGATTTGGCACAAATACTTGATACACCCAAATTTGAATACTGGTGGGATGGGGGGGATTGATTTCGCCATTTGGGAGTTGTAGTTGCTGGGATTAGTAGTTCACCTACAACCAAAGAGCATTCTGAACTCTACCAATGATGGAATTGAACCAAACTTGGCACATAGAACTCCCATGACAAACAGAAAATACTGGAAGGGTTTGGTGGGCATTGACCTCAAGTTTGGGAATTGTAGGTCAGCTACATCTAGAGAGCACTGTGGACTCAAACAATGATGGATCTGGACCAAACTTGGCACAAATGCTCAATATGCCCAAATGTGAACACTGGTGGAAAGTAGACCTTGACATTTGGGAGTTATAGTTGTTGGGATTTATAGTTCACCTACAATCAAATAGCATTCGGAACCCCATCAAGAAGAGACTTGGGCCAAACTTCCCACACAGAACCTCCATGACCAACATAAAATATTGTGTTTTCTGATGGTCTTTGGTGAACCAACCGTAGCTGTATTTCCCTTCTCCAAAGTGGCATTTGCATGTATATAAATGCAGTAAACAAATGTATATGGTAACATGTAAATGCTCACCAGAATTCTATAAAGTCGAACCTCTAAATCCACAGATGCAGTATCAATGGATTCAACCATCCATAGCTTGAAAAAATAATCCAAAAAGCAACTTTGTATATGGTGCACTATTTTACTACACCATGTAAATAATGGGACATGAACATCCACAGATTTTGGTGTGCATGGGGGATCTTAAAACCAAACCCTAGCAGATACCAAGGATCCACTGTATTAATTTTCACTTAACATAAATGAACAGGCTTAGCTATTTAACCAAGTGAGTTGTTAGTGAATTGTAAACATAGATCAGGAAAATGGTAAGAGCATCTATTACACCAGGCATGGTTCTGTGGTTACAGAGTCTTGTGTAACATAGACTGTAATGTAGGATTCCGGACATTGTCACCAGAGTTTGGGAGTTGCAATCTGAAAATGCAGTTAGGGGTCCGATTTACATTGCCATTATAATTCAGATTGAACTACATTATATGGTCAATGTAGACCAAGCATGTGCAAACTGCAGTCCTCCAGGGGTTTTGGACTTCAACTCCCACCATTCCTAACAGCCTCAGGCCCTTTCCTTTTCCCCCTCAGCCGCTTAAGCATGGGAGTTAAGTCCAAAACCCCTGGAGGACTGAAGTTTGCACATGCCTGATGTAGACTCATATAATGCAGTTTAACTGTGTCTACACAGTTATATTATTATATCATATTATAATATTATTATTATATAATATATTATATATATTATATTAAAATATTGTATTATTATAATATTAAATTATTATATTATATATATTTTATATATTATATGTGTCTACACTTGATGAGGAGATATTGGAAAAATGGATATTTATTGATTGATTTATGCATAAAAATCATATGTACTTTAAATGTATAGGAAAATCTAGTTCCCTCTGTGTAGCAAGAATGCTAACAGGCAAGCAAACTGCTTGTCTTCAGAAGGGGCTGAAGAGGAAGGGGGGCATGCATTCCAGAAGAGAGATAAGACACAGGCTGGTACGAGAAGGCCCCCTCTAAGTAAGCAAGAAGGAGGGGGACATTCCATGCTTGCTCTCCAGCAAGACACAGACATGCTTGCTCTTTAGAAACACAGACATGCTTTGCATGTTGGAGGGTGAACCTGATATTCTTATGATGCTCAGATGACGTAGGGATGATGATGATTGTATGAAGATGTATGGACTAGCATGTTTCTTTGTTCGCCTGGACCTGGCATCTATAAAAGCCACCGTCCGTGCCTGTTTCATTGCTCTGGTGGTTTTGTGAGTTGACTCCACACCAGAGTCGCCAGCTGGAAATAAAGCCGTACCTTTTCTTATCTCCAGAAAGGATGTCTCTTGGTAATTATCTCTCTTGGTAATTATCTCTCTTAACCAATTGGTTAGGTGGACGAACACAGAGAGTGCTCACTAATGCTTCCTCTTAATCTTGGAAAGAAGTGACAAGTGGAGTGCCGCAGGGTTCCGTCCTGGGCCCGGTCCTGTTCAACATCTTTATTAATGACTTAGATGAAGGGCTAGAAGGCATGATCATCAAGTTTGCAGACGACACCAAATTGGGAGGGATAGCCAATAGTCCAGAGGACAGGAGCAGAATTCAAAACGATCTTGACAGATTAGAGAGGTGGGCCAAAACTAACAAAATGAAGTTCAACAGTGACAAATGCAAGATACTCCACTTTGGCAGGAAAAATGAAATGCAAAGATACAGAATGGGGGACGCCTGGCTCGAGAGCAGTACGTGTGAAAAAGATCTTGGAGTCCTCGTGGACAACAAGTTAAACATGGGCCAACAATGTGATGTGGCGGCAAAAAAAGCCAATGGGATTTTGGCCTGCATCAATAGGAGCATAGTGTCTAGATCTAGGGAAGTAATGCTACCCCTCTATTCTGCTTTGGTTAGACCACACTGGAATATTGTGTCCAATTCTGGGCCCCACAATTCAAGAGAGATATTGACAAGCTGGAATGTGTCCAGAGGAGGGCGACTAAAATGATCAAGGGTCTGGAGAACAAGCCCTATGAGGAGCGGCTTAGGGAACTGGGCATGTTTAGCCTGAAGAAGAGAAGGCTGAGAGGAGATATGATAGCCATGTATAAATATGTGAGAGGAAGCCACAGGGACGAGGGAGCAAGCTTGTTTTCTGCTTCCTTGGAGACTAGGACGCGGAACAATGGCTTCAAACTACAAGAGAGGAGATTCCATCTGAACATGAGGAAGAACTTCCTGACTGTGAGAGCCGTTCAGCAGTGGAACTCTCTGCCCCGAGAGTGTGGTGGAGGCTCCTTCTTTGGAAGCTTTTAAACAGAGGCTGGATGGCCATCTGTCAGGGGTGATTTGAATGCAATATTCTGCTTCTTGGCAGGGGGTTGGACTGGATGGCCCATTGAGGTCTCTTCCAACTCTTTGATTCTATGATTCTATGATTCCTCAAAACCTATTTTCCTGCCATTTCACACTAACTATATAATGGAGTTCAATCTGCATTATTATGGCAGTGTAGATGGGAACAGACTTGTGTTCCTTCCAATATAGTTAGGTTTTTGCTGGTAGTTCTATCTTATGCCCATTAGTCTTTACTGCTGACCCACCAAACACTTTCAGCCTGTATCCCCTCACCTATTGGGTGCTTACCTATGGCTATTGCCCATAGACAATTACCAACCACCAACTTGAAGCTCCCAGGTTCTGCCTCTTGGCTTCCAAAACCTGGCAACCCACCATGCAGCAATGTATTTTGGCTACTGTGAGATTCCATAAGCTTTCTCTTTTTGCTGCCTTCCTTCAGCTACAAAAAGCAGTGGGGATGGTTGCTATGGCTGATAGACTATCTTTGGCTTGAGATCTTGAAAGCTGTGGAGCCCTGAATTCCCATAATATACAGTATCACGCTCTCGTGTCTCTTTCTTGAAGATAGTTTTCTCTCTCCCAAAGACATGGTCAGTCACACTTAATCAGATACACAAGTATTCCCAGGTAATAATTTAAATTGAACAATTTAGAGCTTGGGAATTTGTTCTGTGCATTAGAACTGAACAAGGTCACAAGCCAATCACACAAAGTCCCACGTATTTGACAAGTATTTATTTTGTTCTTTGGTATCAGGATTCTAGTAAAAACCAAACAGCACACAAATCATCTGGTATATAATGAATGTCCTTGCTGAAGTTAGCTATTCTATGTTGATTTGTAACTGTGTAACCTGGCAACATTGTGTATCTGGTTAAGTGTTACTGACCCTGGCTTTGAGAGGGAGAAAATTGTCTTCAAGAAAGAGATACAAGAATGTGATACTGTATATTGTGGTAATTCAGAGCTCCATAGCTTTCAAAGATAGTCTATCAGTCACAACAACCATCCTCACTGTTTTTTGGTGGGGGCAAGAGGGAGAGCCTTCTCAGTGGTGGCTCCCCAGCTTTGGAATGCCCTCCCAAGGGAGATCAGGCTGCCCCCAAACCTTCTGCACACAATTAAAGACCTGGCTTTTCAGGCAAGCCTTTGAGTATGTTTAGATGCTCTCATAATTATATATATAMAGAGAGGGAGCGGGGGGATGGGGGTGGTAACAGTKAAGGTTTTCCCCTGACATGAAGTCCAGTTGTGTCCAACTCTGGGGTGTGGTGCTCATCTCCATTTCTAAGCTCAAGAACCGGAGTTGTCCGTAGACACCTCCAAGGTCATGTGGCRGGCATGACTGCATGGAACGCCGTTACCTTCCCGCTGGAGCAGTACCTATTGATCTACTCACATTTGCATGTTTTCAAACTGCTAGGTTGACAGAATCTGGGGCTGACAGCAGAAGCTCACGCCYCTCCCCGGATTCGAACTTGTGACCTTTCGGTCAACAAGCTCAGCAGCTCAGTGCTTTAACCCACTGTACCACCAGGGGCTCCCTACACACACACACACACACACACACCTTTAGATTCTTTATTAGCCCTTTATACTTCTGGGATTGAATGCTGCAGTTTTATCTACAGCAATTGCTG